GTGCGCGAAGAATTGCCCGTACGCGAAGAATCACCTGTGCGCGAAGAATCGCCCGTGCGCGATGTGTTAGACAATTGTGAGGTGCCCGTAAATCAAATACTTCCCGACAAGGATGACGACGACGACGACGACGACGACGACGACGACGACGACAACGACGACGACGACGACGACGACGACGACGACGACGACGACAGCGATTTTGAAGAGTTTCTTAACAACCTTCATCCAGGAGCGCTTTGCCTTTATATGTGGATACATATCATCCGCACAGATTATAACAATAATTCATGATCGATGCAGAGGAACAATGCGTTGATTACATTCCCAACGATTCGAATGCCGATATTGTGCAATTGCCATGGTCAATAGAATTATATGAACTCAATTGCATGTCTTCGGTGGAATACGAGAATGAGGAGCAGGAAGAGGAAGAAAATTATTCACAGAATGAAGTTTTGGCGGATAATTTAGAGGATGTGGGGGAATTTCCCTCTGCCCCCGCGAGTTAATCCGCGGGAGTAATCGATGGTGAGGGGGGAGGGGGACAACAAAAATTATTTCTTTCTTTTGTGTGTATTTTAAGTAACATTTCTTCTTGGATTATAAGACATTTCTTTGTGTGTATTTTAAGTGATATTTCTTTTTGGATTATTAGACATTTCTTTTGTGTGTATTTCTTTTGTGTGCTTATGACGTCACGATTCCAATATGACCACGACTCCTGACTAGTCACCGCGGCCATATTGGAATCGTGATGTCATAGGCGAGAAATGACACAATAAAGTTTATGACGGTAATTTTGCAAATAAAAAGATATTTGACTAAAATAACATCTGATATGACTTTAAGACACTTATGAAAATGGGCGGCTGTTATCCTTTCCCTTCCTGATAGTCAATAAATAGCTGTAAAAGGCATGTGAAATGAAGCTTGTTCAGGCAGGAAACACACGATTTAACAGCTGTTGAAAGAAATGGAAAAAATGCTTTCACATATAATGTCCGACGATAATTTTAGCTGCCGCCCATTTTTATGACTCTGATAAGTACGAAACAAGTCATATATGCACGATTAAGTACACAATAATGAAAACAGTCGTTATAAAAGATTTCATTGTCCGCATGTCACTTGTATAAAGATGAACAAGGACAAGGATAAAATGAACAAGGATGAGCTTTTATTTTTCACTGCGACGGTACGTCGCTACCGTCAACGCGGAGTTCTTTGCTGAGTAGTTAGGGGTCTTGTGACATTTCTTTTTGGATTATTAAACATTTCTTTTGGATTACTCTTCTACAACCTCTACTGGTGAGTCTTTTTTATTTTTTTATCTTTTATTTTTTATTTTTACTCGACGGCGTGGATGAGCGGCGAGCGCGGTCATGACGGCGGCAACGGACGGCGGTGGACGGCGGCGAGCCCGCGCCCTGTGAGGTCATGTCCACGCGTCCTGTCCTCCGAACTACAATTTGTTTTATAGTTTTATATATATTTTATATATATATATATATATATATATTGTTTTATATATATATATTGTTGCGGTCGTGCGGTATTCCGTTCGGCGCTGCTAAAAGATAATCAATATCAATCGATAAGAGTTTGAATAGAGGATCGGCCCTTGGCAACGCGTCGTTCTCCGACTGTTTTTCAGATTTGACGGCCAGATTCTGCGGTGGCCGGACGCGTTTCTGTACCGTTGGTTTAATAAAGAGCGAGTCTTTCCTAAAACAGTGTTCTTTCTTTCCGAGAGCGCTCCGCCGAGTATCGCGATCACGGGAAGTAACGCCGCGAACGCGACATTATATAATCTGTTACAGCTGCGGGATACTACTATCTCTATCCTCCTCCCCGTCGGCGGCACATTCCAAAGGACAAAGGACTGCCGTCCCTGCGTTCCCCTCTCTTCTTCCCACGCGCCCGCCGTTCTCCCCCGTACACCCGCACCTCCCTTGGAGCTCTTGCACTAGAATCGGTGTATTACTTCTATATTTTTAATAATTACATTGTGAACACCTTATCTCTCATTATTTTTATAGATTTTGTATCGTGTGATTTCAGACTTGGCTTTCATGGCGCGACATTATGTAACATTAGAGGTAAAAAATGACGTGCAAAAAGTTTCTTGCCTCGTATAGCTTCATTTTGTACTTTTCTCTTAAAAACTATATATATTTTTTATATTCTTAAACTTTGTAAAAAGTATCAGAAAATAAAATATATATTCAATAGATCACGTAAAAGTGTAAAATAATATTTCTTGAATGACTATTGCTCAGCTATCAGAGATCGTCAGGTCATTAGATCCAGTTGTTTCTAATGGCTGAAATGTTTTGCATATCATTTCTCGTTTCTGACATCGTAACTCAATATGACTGCAGCAAGAGAGCCGAGAGCCTTGTTTAAAAAAAGAAAAATTTGAAATTATCGGAATCATTTGTCACGAGCACTAAGAAGAACCATACACACGAAACTCGAAACTTTTCGTACTTCCCTTCTATCAAAGGAGGAGGGATGTCGCGAGCGCCAAGAACACAATCGCGCCCACCGCTGTCGAAGCGGATTGCGGCAAGCGTGCGATAATTTATCCGACTATTATTACTTTTGTTAACCGATAGCGATTGCTAAATTGCAATCGTGTATTTATTTTATTTGTAACCACTCCGTTTAAATTAATTGCCAATCGGGTTGCGCGACCTTTACGTAAAAAGCTGCTGCATGACCCAGAAAAATGCCGCGAAATGCTGACAATCATTATGATTAAGCTGCAAGGACCGGCCGCCCAAATAAAAATGCGCCAGGATAAAAATGCGAGACCGGTGCTAGGAGCGGAGACTCGTTTTGATTTTGTCTTGCAGTCACGTCTGTCGCGGTCTGAATTAATTAGTGCAAAATTATACTGTTTAATAAAGTTTATTGGAAAAAAAAACGAGGAGTGTCGTGTTTGACGTCAAGAATCTTCAGCCGATTCTCTGGCCGATTCTTCTCCGAAATGATCCGCATAACACATTTCAGCTTTTTATTTTAGATGTATCATGTCTATGGTTAATATACAGCTGTTTCTTTCAATATTTTTTTTTAAATTGAGGAAATTCTAAATATTTTAATTAATTCTATATCAAGCTACAATTTAATACAAAATAAGAATAATAGAATAAAAATGACAAATTTGCATAAAATTAGGAAATGATAAATTAAATTTCCTAAATATAATACACATAAAGAAAAATAAAATATTAGATTTAATTGATTTCACAAGACAACTGTTTTGGACAGATATTTAAACTTTATTCTCAACACTTCTTCAATAACGGAACATGCTATGAGCATGATAAGTAGAATTATTTACATCCAAGATATTACGAGAAAAATTTAAATTATCATTAAATTAAAACGGTTACGCGCTCTCACGGTTCGCGGGATAGCATCCAGTCGGGTTGCTAGGAAGAGAGAGAGTTTTGATAGAGAAAATAAGATATAGAAGATTTGATGTGAATTATATACAAATATATTCTTAATATAGAAACTATTTACAACTACTGATTAGATTTTTACAATCTTATATCGTTTGGTATTTACAGTATGTACAGGAAACTCGAGTGTTATTCGCCGAAAGTATACGCGAATTCCGTGAATCGCACAATAGCTTTAACTCGCGACTTTACTAAGAATTCGGCACGTCGCGGTCATGGGCGAGACGGTGCGCGAGGCTTCGTCGCAAGCGGTGGTTGTCGCGTTGCCGATCAGTTGTTAACTGTTACGTTGCGTCAAAATTTTTTTGGGACGGTTTTTTGGGGATTTTCGATCCGGAATAGGATTTAGATTTTGCTGCGGCTCGGAGATAGGAAGCTCCCTGCTCTGTTATCAACAGCGACGGATTTTGCACCAAGGGCTTGCTTTGAGGGTCAAACTAAGAAGCACTTTAGTTCGAAAGAAAGCTTGCGTGCTTTGGAGATAGGAGTAATCCGCCAAAAGTTCCTGACTTTCTAAGTAGTGCCCTAGGATCGCTTACAGGTATCGGGACAGGTATTCAGAGATCAGCAGTGGCTTGACTGCTCGTCAAGAATAGGCGAAAATCATCCGTCAGAGTCAGCTAATATACCCGAGTCGGCCGTAAATTGGAACGGATCGGGAACAAGTCGGCCGAACTCGGATTCTGAGGTTAACTTCGCGGATGATTTTGTCAAATAATCCGCGAATTTCACCGAACAGGTATGATTCCGCGAATCCGTTCGGTGGCGCAGTCGATAACGGGACTAGCGGCGGTGGTCCAACGCGCAGATTATGATAAACACACGTTCTCGTAAATTCTCCATTGATCGACGCGAATTTGTTCGACGGTGATCCGGATCGCGGAGAATCGCCGTGTCGATACTCCAATGGTCGGTCGGGAAAACAAAGATTATAATTTTACGATTTGACTTACAGGAGAAAGGCGTATCGTTACAAAACAAATAATAATTACTTGTAAAATAATAACAACCGTATTCACTCATTACATCTTATATACCAAAAATGTCAAAGAATTTAAGTGAATTGTAAAAATTTTAAACACCAAACTCTTATTTTTACATTGAGTTTACATTGAATGGATCATTAAAGAACACGAAGATATTCTTTCAAAACTGTTTGAAATGAATGTAGTTTACAAAATCTCTTCTAAAAATTATGATGCTTCATATGTGGGAAGCGAAAGTAACTTAAAATGAAAGTTTAAGAATGTAATCATACTAAAAAGAAGACCATTCATTCGATTAGATCATTCATTTGATTACAGAGCATGATGGATTTTCACAATTTCACGATTTCAATTGGGATGATGTTAAAATAATTGATGCGTTTCTTAGAAAGAAAAAGAATATTAAACATTATTAATTACAAATAATTATTAATTAATAATAAATTAAAAATAAGTAAGTAAGTATATATCCATAATGATGCGTTTCTAACCGAATTAATATTAAAATATTTCCTTTCTGCTCCTTAAAAATACGAATTAATCGATTCATTAAAATAGAAAATAAAGTTATATATGCTTGGCTCAGGTAATTACAGCTGCTTGAAGGTGGATCTAATCTTCACGAGAGATCGTTCCTTCTATTTTACTACGGTCTTCATCCCGGGTATTATTCTAGTAACCAGCTCCTTCATTACATTTTGGCTTGAATGGAATGCCGTACCGGCACGAGTGATGATCGGTGAGTATTAACCTAAATTTCTCCGTAACTCTTTAAATAGAAAAAATATACTTTTTACATAACGGACACGAATATATGCGATTTATGTACATTTTTACATATGCATATGTAAAAATAATATATATCCCAGACCTAACGCACCGCCTGCTAATGACAGATTTCTAAAATCATTTAGAGACAAAAATTCTAATAAATACTAAAATGTTGAGGCTACAATAGTTTTCAAATAGGAAATTAGAGCTATCAATATGCAGATATTCGAGTAACTCGAGTATTATCCGGGTACCCGAGTATATCGAATATTTCTCGGAATATCGAATATTATTCGGGTACCCGTGTATTGAATATATCATATTTCTCGAATCTGGATATCCTCGAATATCTGAGTAACTGATTATCTCGAGTACTATCCAGGTGTCCGGGTATATTAAAATTTTTAAGAAAAAAATTTGAATATTAAATATCTATGAAGTATGAAGTATACATATATACATGTAAGTCAATAAAATGAAAAATTGCGTCAGTTGAAAATAAAATATTATAGATAAAAATTATGAATAATAGAAAAAAAAGTTGAGTGTGGGAGTTTGCAACGGTTTCAGGAAATGGCTAAAATGTTCAATGTAATATCTGTGACAGTACACTTTTGTATAACGGATCATCATCGTAATAAATAAACATTTAAACATTAAAATTAAAACATTCATTAAAAAAGAACGATAAAAATATAACTAGGTAAAAATTATTATTTTCTCATTAAATTTATAATATCCTTTATGCTGTTTAGCTTTAGAAAATTAGTAAAATACGATTAATTTCTAACTAAAGAAATTTAAAATAATCTATGAAAAGATATTTTTTATGTCTTCTCATTATTACTTTTATTTTTCTAAACAAAAATTTAATGAAAGTAAAGTTAAAAATAAATATATATTATTTCTGAGAAGTATAATAAAATAATTAAAAAAGTAATTAAAAGTAAATAATTAAATTACAAATTACAAATAATAAAAATAATAAATTCTAAATTATAAAAATGTTTATAAATAATAATTAGTAAATTAGTAAATAATAAATAATAATTACAAATCTTTAAAAATATTAAAATTTATTATATTTCTATTATTCAATTTTAGTGCTGAAGTACAGGAAATACAATACAACCGATACAACCGATTGCTATTTTTTATGAGCTGCGATTAATTAATAAAAATAAAAATAAAAGCAGTAATAAATCCATGTAATCCGTAAAGACAAGAGGATATTCACCTACATGTATATATGTATACTTCATAGATATTTGATATTCAAATTTTTTTCTTAAAAATTTTAGTATATCCGGATAGTACCCGAGATAATCAGTTACCTGGGTATTCAAATATTCAGGTATTTCGGGTATTATCCGAATATCTAGTGACCCGAGTAATACTCGTGAATTTGGGTAATCGTGAACTTGGGTACTCGGGTACCCGGATATAGAGATAACTCGGTTTATATTGACAGCCCTAGGAAATGTTTAAAAATGTCCAATCGGGCTGTCCATTATTCCGAGCGCTGAGGTTCATAGTAAAAGTGCTCCTAGATATTAATGTTTAAATATTAACATAATTTTGCATACATTTTTGAATTTTTTTCTTCGTAACTTTTCCTACTTATTTAATTAATTTGCTCTGTTGATAATATTAATAGCGGTTAAAAATAACAATTATTTTACGCAATATTGATCTTGGAATGCATCGAGTTATCGTTATACATCGAGCTGTCAAATAAAGTATCTGTCACATGAAGTATGTTGTAAGTAAATATTTTTTTATATGAGTCTTAATCAATATTAATCAAGAAATTATTTTTTTAATTAGATGAATAATAAAGAATGAATATATTGATAAAAACTTTTTCAACATCTGTAATTTATACAACAATAATATAAAGAATAATTAGTCTTGACATATCCTTTTTTAGAAAATACAATTATGATTGAACTACATACATATTATTTTATAATACAAAGTATAGAAATTATTATCACATTATGTACCAAAATTAGCATTTCGTACGTAATAGTTATGTTAGAAAATTAATGAAATATTAATATTAATAAAATAAAATATTCTGTGTTTTTTTGCAAAACCATGAAAATTTATTTTAGTAAATTTCATTTTATATTGAAAATTAAAATTTTATATCTATTACAACAGATCTTCAAAATTTTTATCATTGCATTCTATGCATAACTGTGCACATTTCAATAAATTACACATTGCATTTCTAATCATTTGTGGTTATAATGGCAATAACTTCATTAATTCGATCTCTCAATTCTTTACGATTATTAATCTGTTCTTGATACATAAAATACATAATAAAATATATATTCTTTAATATATTGATAAGACATATTCTTGATAAAGACATATTCTTTAATATAGCCCCAAAAGAAATAATCTAAGAGCGTCCAAAATCCGGTGACCTTGCCGGCCAACTTATTGGGCCTCCGCATCCTATCCATTTTTCTGAAAATTAATATTTGATATTCGACGTGCATTTCTGAAATTATAAGACGCTCCATCATATTGAAACAATATATTTTGCCGTTGATGTAAAGGCATATCATTCATTAAATCTACAAGATTGTTTGTTATAAAATCAGTAAAAAATTCTCCTGTTAATCTCACAAGCATTTTGAAAGGTCCGCTTTGAAGCATAATAGTACGTGTTATGTTGAAAATTTAATGTAAGTTTAATAACTTCAATAAATTAGAAAATAGTATAAATGTAATATAGTTTACTATCATATCATTATGCCGGCCCATAAGTTGATATTGAAACGATGTTGATAATCCCTTGAATATGAAATTCATTTGGATTTTCGTTTGTTCAAATATCTGTATTATTATCCTTTTTAAAAAAAGTCTGACATCGATACTCGCATCTCCCGAAATTTTCTCGAAATTTATTATTAACGCTTTTCCGCAATGCTGATTGGTTCTTTCGCTGCACTAGCTTCGTGAATAGCTGTCATTGTATTGATCTCACAGCGAAGATCGTTTTGACAATTGTATATCAAAAAGTTAAAAATATTATAGTGTAACAGTATAATAGTATTATATTAATTTTTATTCTTGTGTTGAAAAAATTAAATAGGGCGCGCGCAGCGCGCGTTTGTAATGTCTAGTGTATATAAATAACACAATACACAAATAACCTTCACGGGTAAAACATGATTCATCCGTGAAGAAATTCCTACGAACCGGGTTGATTTTCCTCTTGCTTCAATAACCCCCTTTTCCACACACACACACACACACACACACACACACACACACACGCGCGCGCGTATATATATTCGTGTAAATCTTTTTACATTCCATATATAAATATAAATATATATATATATGGTGGACCAGTCAGTTGCCGCCGTCGTAACGAAAGTGCCGGTCGCCAAGATGGCGGTGGGTCCGTGCGCGTGGGGAAACGTGTTCAACGCGATAAGAGAATCATCTAGCGGGCACTGGCTGGTCACAAGGCTGCTTGGCCTATAAGAGGGGCGAGGGAGAAATCGCTACGCACTCGAAATAGGTTTGCACGATTTAATATTTAATTGAAGGCTTAGAACTAGTATAACAAAGTCTGTAGAGTGAAGCTTGCACATTCGCAGCGTCCACTCGCGTTGCAATGAGATGAGGTTTATACAAAGCTTGACTGCGTTTAGTCGCGAGTGTCGAACGCCATAACTGTGGAGAACGTGGAGCGCATGATCCTACTCGACCGTGGGTTGGCGCGCGACTGGATGCAGTTAGAAGCATTCGCGAAGTCGCAGAATTTGCTTCCGTTGGCGCTCGCTTCCGCTGGTCGGTGGTCGAGTCGCTGGGACTGGCGCAGTGGGCGCCACAACCATTCCCCCAGAGACTTTCGCAGATTGTGAAGGAAGCGAAAATCTAACGAGTTTCGTGGTGCCTGGCTGTTGACCGGTTGACAGGGGCGAAGTCATTGAAGAGAGTGCTTGGGTTATCTCGTGTGCAGGACGTACTTGCTGTGAAGCTGCACTATGTGCGGGTTCTACTGGTGTATCCTGTTCATGGGCCGTCATGTAAGCGGGCTTGAAAGCGTCTGTGGAGATGACTTTTGTTGGCCGTTGATGTCGATTTCGAAATTCTTCCCGTCGATCCGTCGCAGAATGCGATGAGGACCAGAGTACAGCGGGAACAGCGGCGGTCTTAGCATCTAAGCATCTGAAAACATTGAGTGCATGAGTCGAGATTTTTAATGGTGAATTGATGAGGTTTTATGTGGTGGGCTGTAGGAATAGGTCTTAGAGCATGGAAATGTGCTCTGAGTTTTTCCAGGAATGTGTGTGGCGACGCTGATGGTTCGGCCGAGACGAAGAACTCTCCGGGTATACGTAACGTCGTCCCAAATAGCATCTCCACTGGTGAAGCTCCGAGGTTCCACTTGAATGCAATTCTTAATCCAAGGAGCACTGTTGGTAATAAGGTGAGCCACGACGTAGCGGGATTATACATAAGCGCTGCTTTTAGTTTGCGGTGCATCGTTTGAGGAGACCGTTGGACTGCGGATGGTATGGCGAAGTCTGTATCCTCGTTGCTCCGATTAAGTGAGCAAGTTTCGTGAAAAGCACCGACTCGAATTGTGGTCCTTGGTCGGTAAAGATATTAAGCGGTGTGCCAAATTGGGCGATCCAGCCGTTGTAAAATTCACGAGCGATCGTATCGGCCTGAACGTCTTTGATCGGAATAACATGTGACGAGAACGTAGAACGCATGATCCTGCTCGACCGGGGGTTGGCGCGCGACTGGACGCAGTTAGAAACATTCGCGAGGTGTTACGTGCCGAAACTCGGGATTTGAAAACTATTATTTTTTGTTCCCCTTTGTCGAACAAATTTTAAGTATCGCGTTATTTAAGTAATTCAGGACATTCCTTCCTTTTTCCTCTTCCGACACACTTTCACTTTAGTCCTGTCCAAACAACTCATAACA